GACCGACGACCGACGACCGACGACCGACGACCTACGACCGACGACCGACGACCTACGACCTACGACCTACGACCTACGACCTACTACCTACTACCTACTACCTACTACCTACTACCTACTACCTACTACCTACTACCTACTACCTACTACCTACTACCTACTACCTACTACCTACTACCTACTACCTACTACCTACTACCTACTACCTACTACATACTACCTACTACCTACTACCTACTACCTACTACCTACTACCTACTACCTACTACCTACTACCTACTACCTACTACCCCCTACTACGCGACGACCGGACGACCGAGACCCTACGTACCGACTGACCGAAGACCGACGGAACTACGACCGACGACCGAAGACCACCGACGACCCACGACGACCACGGGACGACCACGAAGGACACGACGACCACCACGACGACCACGAGACCACGACGACCCAACGACGACACGACGACCACGACGACCACGACTACCAACGACGGGGACCACGAGGGACAACGACTACCACGAGCGACCGGACGACCAGACAACCACACGACCCACTACGACCACTATACACGAGCACCACGACCACACGACCACCACCACCACCACCACCACCACCACCACCACTACTACTACTACTACTACTACCTACTACTACTGCTACTACTACTACTACTACTACTACTACTACCTACTACTTGTACTACCTTGTACTACTACTACTACTACTACTACTACTACTTGTACTACTACTACTACTACTACTACTACTACTACTACTACTACTACTACTACTACTACTACTACTACTACTACAGCTACAGCTACAGCTACAGCTACAATTACTACAACAACTGCAACTACAACAACGACAACTACAACTACCACAACTACCACAACTACAACCACAACTACAACCACAACTACAACAGCCATAACTACTACAACTACACCACACCACACCACACCACACTACACACTACACTGCATTTCACCACATTACACTACCACTACCAGCTACCACTACCACTACACTACAACTACTACTACAACTCCAACTACAACTACAGCTTCTACTACAGCTACAACTACAACCACAGCAACATCATCCACCGCTACAGCTACATCTACAGCTACAACTACAACTGCACTACACTAGACTCGACTACGCCCATTTCAACTACAACTTCATTTCACCACTTCACCACACTACACTACCAATACGCTACAACTACAGCCACAATAACTACTACAGCCACTACAACTATAGCATTGCAACTACAACAACATGAACTACAGCTACAGCTACAACTGCGCTACAACACAACTACAACTACAGCTACAACTACAACTCCACTACACTACATTCCACTTCACCACGCTACACCACACTACTCCACCACTACACTACACTAAACTACACTACACTGCAACGACAGCTACACCAACTACAACAACTACCACAACAACAACAACAACAACAACAGCAACAGCAACAGCAACAGCTACAACAACTACAACTAGTACTGCAGCTTCAACTATAACATTACAACTACAACAACAGCAACTACAGCTACACTACAAAACTACTACAACTGCAACTGCAACTGCAACTACACTTACATTGCACTACGCTACACCACACTACATCCAGCAGTTGTGGTTGAGGCGACCACTGCAACCATTTCAAAAAACAACTCCAACCGCCTTTCGGTCCATCAGTGGATTCGCTCTGCCATCTGCCACCGCCTTGTGCGGTACTACTGGTAATCTATAAATTGGAATAATTTCGATTTTTTGGAGAGAGGGTGTATAGGGCTCGATCAGACATGCTCCCTTATTCGGCTGCTCTTCAGTAGTCTTGAATGTAACATGCAAAAAGGCTTCGCAGGGGCTTTTTGCACTGCCACTCTGGGTGTTCTAGCGTTGCTCCCGGTATTGAAATGGTCCGAGCAGCCAACACAAAAGATGCGCAGGGGGAGACTGGTGCGTTGAGTCCAGACGTTATCGGGCTGTTGGAGAACTTTTTGAATTTCTGCTCCGCGTTCTGCTTACTACAAAAGCAAAGAAACCATACTCGAAACTCAAAACTAGACTATAATTTTCGTCTCACCAATGACAGCAAAAAATCGTGAGAAGCACCGCCGACACTGCGTGGCTGGAAGCAGGTGTTCTTCAGAAGGCTGCTTCAACACTCCCATCTGCACCCAAAAGCGCCGCCTTGTATGCACCATCCTGAGCACCCTTGGCCTACCACGCTCAATGGAAATCCAAGAAAGTCAACGAAAGTGACAAAATTGTCAGGAGAGGTGCAACGCAGTCAGTTCAAAGAACCACAAGTTGTGTAATGCTGTGGCGCATCCCCTGCCTGACTACTGCGTGTTTGACCCAATGAAAGGGGAAATCTTTCGTCCCACCCTGCAGCCGGTTGGGCAAAAGGTCAGGTCTTAAAGAATTTGAAGATGAAGCATAACTAAGCCTGAACAGCAAATTTCACAGTGAACCATTTGCCGCAGTAAAGAAAGGAAGCTCACTCAGGCTTCAACGGCTCATGATGTCAAAAAAGGCCATAAAAAGCTGCTCGAGGGATTTGGATTGCCTGAACAACTGAAATTCGTTTGTATGGTAAGAATCGAAGGAAAACATGAGAAAAAATAACCCCGGTACTTTTACCGATGTAAACTCCTTGTCGCTTTGGCTCAGATGAACTGTCGCGATGAATTGACCCCATCAATTTTTCTCTGGCGTTTAGCCCAGAGAAAATTGACATAGAGATATAGATATGCAAAAATTACATGTTTATATCATGTCCGGGAGAAACTGTGGCGTTTCCGTATCTATGGCAGTTTACAATTGGATGCCACGAAGTGCACTTTATTTTGTTGCAGGAGACTTCATGAGACATGAAATGCAAAAATGGTCGCTTGTAAAGAACAGCTGCCACAGAGAGAACAAGACATTTTTGACTGGGATGTACACAAAATATTGGCGTACAATTTAGAGATCAGGGGTGTGACACCCGTGCATTCATTTCTCATTGAACAAGTCTTGCAGAAGCAACCTGTGGCGCAAACAGCGAAGTCTTTCGTTGGAGAATTGGAATTTGCGCCATAGCAAAGCCCATCTACAATATATGTATTCTGCAAAGTCTTGGAGACTGAGCCGTGCAACCCGTTTCCAGGGGTGCGGGACGAAAGCTAGCTTGGCAGGGAGCTTGGCATGAAAACACAAAGGGCACAGCGCAGCTGTGCAGCTTTTTCGTCAACGTGGACGAGCGGGACTGAAGCTGGGGCATGTTGGTAAGGTGAACATCCAAACCTACATATTGAGGCGATGTATGTTGGAGGGGACGAGGATGAGAACATATGATTATGACGGTCTGTTACACGAAGAGGATAAGGAAAGACAGCATAGCCAGCATGATGACTAGTGATTGGGGAAGATGGAAAGGTCCACCTTCGGCATCGGAGTGGGCCTTTGGCAGCGCGGGAAGAAGTAACGCAGTGCACAGCCGAAGTTTAGGACGAGAGGTAGGTGTGCGTGCGCAACATGAAAATTAAGCTAGGCCAAGGTTCCGTACAGGGTCAAGTGTGAAAAGTGTAAAGTTGTGAGGGCGTAAAATGAAGTGTAAGGTGTAAAGTGTGAAAGTGTAAAGTGTAGAGAGTGGGTTGTAAAGTGTAGAGTGTGGAGCGTACAGTGCACAGTGTGAAGTGTAAAGTGTAGATTGTGGAGTGTAGAGTGTAGTGTCGAGTGTGGGGTGTGGGGTGTCAAGTGTAGCGTGTGGAGTGAACAGTGTAAAGCGAGTGCGGAGTGTAAAATGTAGATGTTAAGTGTACAGTTCAGAGTAAGTGTAGAATGCGGAGTGCCAAGTGTCAAGTGTGAAGTGTAAAGTGTAGAGTATAATGGGTGGAATGTAGAGTTTAGAGTTTGGAGTGTCGTGTGTAGATCGTGGGGTGTAAAGCGTAAAGAGTAAAGTGTAGAATGTCGAGTGTCAAGTGTAAAGCGCGCAGCGTAAAATGTAAAGTGTAAAGTATAGAGTGTAGAGTCTGGAGTGTAAAGTGTGGAGTGTGGACTGCCAAGTGTAAAGTGTGAAGTGTAAAGTGTAGATTGTGGAGTGTAGAGTGTAGTGTCGAGTGTGGGGTGTGGGGTGTCAAGTGTAGCGTGTGGAGTGAACAGTGTAAAGCGAGTGCGGAGAGTAAAATGTAGAGTGTAGAGTGTTAAGTGTAAAGTTCAGAGTAAGTGTAGAATGTGGAGTGCCAAGTGTCAAGTGTGAAGTGTAAAGTGTAGAGTATAATGGGTGAGATGTAGAGTCTAGATTTTGGAGTGTAGTGTGTAGAGCGTGGGGTGTAAAGCGTAAAGAGTAAGGTGTAGAGTGCTGAGTGTCAAGTGTAAAGTGCGCAGCGTAAAATGTAAAGTGTACAGTATAGTGGAGTGTGGAGTGTAAAGTGTGGAGTGTGGAGTGCCAAGTGTGGAGTGTAAAGTGTAGAGTGTAGACTGTGGAGTGCAAAGTGTAGAGTGCGCAGAGCCAAAGTGTAGAGTGCAATGTGTAGAGTGTAGAATGTGGATTATAAAGTGTGATAAGTAAAGTGTAAGGTGTAAAGTGTGAAAGTGCAAAGTTTAAAGTGTAGAGCGCGTGGGCTGTAAAGTGTAGAGCGTGGAGCATACAGTGTACAGTGTATAAAGTGCAGGGTGTGGAGTGTAAAGCGTAGAGTGTGGGGTGTGGGGGTTCAAGGGTAGAGTGTGGAGTGTGGAGTGTAAAGTGTAGAGTGTAGAGTGTGGGGTGTCAAGTGTCAAGTGTGAAGTGTAAAGTGTAAGATATAATGTGTGAGATGTAGAGTCTAGATTTTGGAGTGTAGTGTGTAGAGCGTGGGGTGTAAAGCGTAAAGAGTAAAGTGTAGAGTGCTGAGTGTCAAGTGTAGAGTGCGCAGCGTAAAATGTAAAGTGTACAGTATAGAGTGTAGAGTATGGAGTGTAAAGTGTGGAGTGTGGACTGCCAAGTGTAAAGTGTGGAGTGTAAAGTGTAGAGTGTAGAGAGTGGAGTGTGGAGCGCGCGAGTAGTATAAAGATGTCTAAAGTGTAATGCGTGAAGTGCAAAGTGTAGAGTGTGGAGTGTAAAGTGTAGAGTGCACAGTGCAAAGTGTAGAGCGCAATGTGTAGAGTGTAGAATGTGGAGTGTAAAGTGTGATAAGTAAAGTGTAAGGTGTAAAGTGTCAAAGTGCAAAGTGTAAAGTGTAGAGTGTGTGGACTGTAAAGTGTAGAGTGTGGAGTGGAGTGTAAAGCGCAGAGTGTAGAGTGTGGGGTGTGGGGAGTGTGAAGTGTAGAGTGTGGGGTGTCAAGTGTCAAGTGTGAAGTGTACACTACCACAAAAAGCAGCCAGGATGTCGAAACCCTGCGCCGGTGCATGTACTAATTCCGTTCTATTCAACTCATCGCACGCTTTGCCCAAAGCACCCTATAATTGCGAGTTCAAAAGCCTCGGTTGAAAAACCCTGTCCCTGTGCATGTACTAGTCCCGTTCCAATTGCAAGAAAATCGCACTTTGTATTGGCAGGGACACTTACAAGTGCCGATGCGGGCGCAATCTTGGAAATAGAAAGATTTCTGAAACATTTTGATTAATTTACGCGCGTCAGGACATGGAAGCGCCCGTGCCAATGCAAAGTGCGATTTTCTTGCAATTGGAAACGGTACTAGTACATGCACAGGGACAGGGTTTTCCAACCAAATCTTTCGAACTCGCAATTATAAGGTGATTTGGGCAAAAGTGCATGCTGATTTGAATAGAACGGAATTAGTGTGTGGACTGCAAAGCGTAAAGTGTAAAGTGTAGAGTGTGGAGTGTAAAGTGTATAGAGAGTGCGCAGTGTCATGTCTGTGGAGTGTGATGTGTAGAGTGTAGAGTTTGGAGTGTAAAGGGTAGAGTGTGGGGTGTAAAGTATAAAGGGTAAAGCGTAGAGTGCGGAGTGTCAGGTGTAAAGTGTGAGGTGCAAAATGAAAAGTATAGAGTATGGAGTGCAGAGTGTGGAGTGTAAAGTGTAAAGTGTGGAGTGTCAAGCGTAAAGTGTGGAGCGTAGAGTGTAGAGTGCGGAGTGTAATGTGTAGAGTGTGAAGTGCATGGTGTACAGTGTAATGCGTGAAGTGTAACGAGTAGAGTGTTCAATGTAAAGTGTAGAGTGCCCAGTGTCAAGTGTAAAGGGTAGAGTGTAATGCGTAGAGTGTAGAGTGTGGGGTGTCAAGTGCACAGTGTAAAGTGTAAAAAGCGAAGTGTAATGCGCAAAGGGCGAAGTGCAAAGTGCAAAGTGTAGAGTGTGGAGTGTCAAGTCTAAAGTCCAAAGTGTAGCGTGCGGTGTGTGGAGTGCAGAGTGCGGAGTGTAAAGTGTAGAGTGTGGAGTGTAAAGTGTGGAGTGTGGAGTGTACAGTGTAGAGTGCGCAGTGTAGAGTCGGAGGGTGGAGTGTGGAGTGTCAAGTGTAAAATTAGAGTGTGGAGTGCCAAGTATAAAGTGTTACGTGTAGAGCGTGGGGTGTGGGGTGTAAAGTGTGGAGCGCAAAGTTAAGAAGCTAAGTGCGCAGAGTGTGGAGTGCAGAGTGTGGATTGCAAAGTGTAGAGCGGGGAGTGCAGATGATACCGATGTTGATGTTGCTGACGGTGACCCCGGCGGGGGTTGAGCCCACGGCCAAACTGCTTGTGACGGGGAAGGGGGAGGGGAGGTGGGGGGTGAGGTAGCAATCCCCGTATTGAGGGAGCCCTGGATCTACACTAGAACACTTGTGGTCAGCGCGGCGGCAAGCTACACCTTTTTGCTGCGGTATGCAAGCAAGTCTTGAGCCACGGAGTGGCGCAGTGGATAGAATGAATTAAGTGAACATGTCATGTACTACATGCAACCTGTCATGCATGCATTGTGTAGACACGTCCCCAAAAAGGGTTTACAAACAGACACAAATTTTATTCGTGTCGTAACATGCAGCTGGTCTTTTGCACAAGAAGCGCTCAGCCTGTGCTCTGCTGTGAAACGTGCGTGTCCGAAGACAAAAATGATCTGCTGTCAGGCCGTAATTCGGCTCTTGATGTCAGAAAAATCTAAAAGCCCATTGAGAATGTGCATCCATAAAGATAAAGTTCGTTTCTGCGTCTCTGGGCTGATGGTTGGTGAAAGAAAATACTTTGGTCAGGCGTCTGTGGCAACAGATCTATCCATGACCCGTCTGGACGCTGCATCCATCTGCTGTCTGGAGCATAGTAACCTTGCACGTACCCAACCACGTGAGTTTGCGGATTGGTTCGCCAGTATGGCGGTTGAAAATAACCTGGACCGCGAGGGCGGTTCGCCGTTGACGATGATGGCGGTTCTGGCATATTGGGATAACCAGAATTAAGCCATTGCGTGCCCGACATCCGGGTCGGCGGCGGCGGAGTTCGGGAACATTAATTGGTCGTTCCCTTTGCGACCTCCCCGTATATTAGTCCAATGTCCGCCAGCGGACGACCGTGTCTCGGTTCGTGTCCGGGTGTTTTGACCTTGGAGAGTCTCTGAACGCTCCCTTCCGACGCGACTGCGTCGCTCCACATCTCAACGTCCAAAAGTCGTCCGACACTGA